TTCAACGCTTTCACCTCATCACACATAATCACTGTTTTGCAGAGGTGCTCAGAACACAACAGTACTCACCTATTTGTGGTTGCAGGGGTCGAGTCACAGCTCCTGGCCCCGCCTCTTCGCTGATTGCTACTAGGTCCTCTCTCTCCCTGCCCCATGAGCTCTATCATACCTCGCCTTAAAACTATGTATGGTTCCTGCCTCCACTACATCACTTTCTAGGCTATTCCATGGCTGACTACTCTATGACTGAAGAAATACTTCCTAACATCCCTTTGATTCATCTGAGTCTTCAACTTCCAATTGTGACCTCTTGTGTCTGTGTCCCATCTCTGGAACATCCCATCTTTGTCCACCTCGTCTATTCCGCACAGTATTTTATATGTCGTTATCATGTCTCCCCTGACCCTCCTGTCCTCCAGTGTCGTCAGGCCGATTTCCCTCAACCTTTCTTCATAGGACAATCCCGTAGCTCTGGGACTAGTCTTGTTGCAAACCTTTGCACTTTCTCTAATTTCTTGACGTGCTTGACTAGGTGGGATTCCAAACTGGTGCTGCATACTCCAGTATGGGCCTGACGTAGATGGTATACAGAGTCTTAAACGAATCCTTACTGAGGTATCGGAACGCTATCCGTAGGTTTGCCAGGCGCCCGTATGCTGCAGCAGTTATCTGATTGATGTGCGCCTCAGGAGATATGCTCGGTGTTATACTCACCCCCAGATCTTTTTCCTTGAGTGAGGTTTGCAGTCTTTGGCCATCTAAAACTATATTGTGTCTGCGGTCTTCTTTGCCCTTCCCCAATCTTTATGACTTTGCATTTTGGCAGGGTTAAATTCAAGGAGCCAGTTGCTGGACCAGGCTTGTAGCCTGTCCAGGTCTCTTTGTAGTCCTGCCTGATCCTCATCCGATTTGATTCTTCTCATTAACTTCACATCATCTGCAAACAAGGACACTTCTGAGTCTATCCCTTCCGTTATGTCGTTCACATATACCAAGAACAGCACAGGTCCTAGGACTGACCCCTGTGGAACCCCGCTTGTCACAGGCGCCCACTCTGACACCTCGTCGCATACCATGACTCGTTGTTGCCTCCCTGTCAGATATTCTCTGATCCATTGCAGTGCCTTTCCTGTTATGTGTGCCTGATCCTCTAGCTTTTGCAGTAACCTCTTGTGAGGAACTGTGTCGAAGGCCTTCTTGCAGTCCAAAAATATGCAGTCGATCCACCCCTCTCTCTCTTGTCTTACTTCTGTCACCTTGTCATAAAACTCTAGTAGGTTTGTGACACAGGATTTTCCTTCCCTGAAACCGTGCTGGTTGTGAAGATACACGACATATCCCTTCAAACTGCCAATATCCCCAACCCCTCCTTTAGAGTGCAGGCATTGTAATTCCCATTTCCAAGACTCAAGTCCAGCTATATAAAAATAACCGGTTTCCCTGAATCCCATCACTAAATATTACCCTGCTCACACTCCAACAGATCGTCAGGTCCCAAATACCATTCGTCTCCATTCACTCCTATCGAACACACTCACGCACGCCTGCTGGAAGTCCAAGCCCTTCTCCCACAAAACCTCCCTTACCCCTTCCTTCCAACCTTTTTGAGGACGACCCCTACCCCGCCTTCCTTTCCCTACAGATTTAGACGCTCTCCATGTCATTCTACTTTGATCCAATCTCTCTAAATGACCAAACCACCTTAACAACCCCTCTTCAGCTCTCTGACTAATACTTTTATTAACTCCACACCTTCTCCAAATTTACACACTCTGAATTTTCTGCATAATATTTACACCACACATTGCCCTTTGACAGGACATCTCCACTGCCTCCAACCGCCTCCTCGCTACTGCATTCACAACCCAAGCTTTACACCCATATAAGAGTGTTGGTACTACTATACTTTCATACATTCCCTTCTTTGCCTCCATAGATAATGTTTTTTTTTTGTCTCCACATATACCTCAATGCATCACTCGCCTTTTTTCCCTCATCAATTCTATGATTAACCTCATCCTTCATAAATCCATCCGCCGACACGTCAACTCCCAAGTATCTGAAAACATTCACTTCTTCCATAGTCCTCCTCCCCAATTTGATATCCAATTTTTCTTTATTTAAATCATTTGATACCCTCATCACCTTACTCTTTTCTATGTTCACTTTCAACTTTCTACCTTTACACACACTCCCAAACTCATCCACTAACCTTTGCAATTTTTCTTTAGAATCTCCCATAAGCACAGTATCATCAGCAAAAAGCAACTGTGTCAATTACCATTTTGTATTTGATTCCCCATAATTTAATCTCACCCCTCTCCCAAACACCCTATCATTTACTTCTTTTACCACCCCATCTATAAATATATTAAACAACCATGGTGACATTACACATCCCTGTCTAAGACATACTTTTACCGGGAAGTAGTCTCCCTCTCTTCTACACACCCTAACCTGAGCCTCACTATCCTCATAAAAACTCTTTACAACATTTAGTAACTTACCACCCATTCCATATACTTGCAACATCTGCCACATTGCTGCTCTATCCACTTTATCATATGCCTTTTCTAAATCCATAAATGCAATAAAAACTTCCCTACCTTTATCTAAATACTGTTCACATATATGCTTCAATGTAAACACTTGATCTACACATCCCCTACCCACTCTAAAACCTCCTTGTTCATCTGCAATCCTACATTCTGTCTTACCTCTAATTCTTTCAATTATAACCCTATCATACACTTTTCCTGGTATACTCAGTAAACTTATTCCTCTATAATTTTTACAATCTCTTTTGTCCCCCTTCCCTTTATATAAAGGGACTATACATGCTCTCCACCAATCCCTAGGTACCTTCCCCTCTTTCATACATTTATTAAACAAAAACACCAACCACTCCAAAAACTATATCTTCCCCTGATTTTAACATTTTTGTCATGATCCCAACAGTTCCAGCTGCTTTACCCCTTTCATTCTACATAATGCCTCATGCACCTCCCCCACACTCACATCCTGCTCTTCTTCACTCCTAAAAGATGGTATACCTCCCTGGCCAGTTCATGAAATTACCGCCTCCCTTTCTTCGTTGACATTTAAAAGTTCTCAAAATATTCCCGCCATCTACCCAAAACCTCCACCTCCCCATCTGCTAACTCCCCTACTCTGTTATTAACTGACAAATTCATTCGTTCCCTAGGCTTTCTTAACTTGTTTAACTCACTTCTTATTTTCATTAAAATTTCTTGACAGTGCCCCTCCCACTCTATCATCTGCTCTCCTTTTGCACTCTCTCACCACTCTCTTATTATTATTATTATTATTATTATTACAATATAAATAATTTGTAATTTTTATTCACACAAAAAATATAAGATTTACTGTTGTGCCATATTGTAATAATTGTATAAATAATGTCAACCCATTCACGACTGCATATTAGAATGGACTCTTGAACATTGCCAAAACAATCGAACATTTCTGCTGTGTTGAGCTCAATTTCAAGGTACTTTTCATCGTGAAAGCAATCAAAATCATATCTATTTCTGTAATATATCTTCCATTTTATCAAATGAGACCAAAAAACAAGAATACATCCATAAAAACCATATGAAAATACCGCTGAGGGGTGGCTAATTGCTGAGAAGTGAACTCCATTATTTATGCTTAGATTTCTTTCATTTTTGGTGTACATTAAGAAGCATCTTTCCATCATACATTGCCCAAGTTTCAATAAGATAGCCCAACAAACAAATGAGATACAATTCCCTAGATCAAGAGGAAGAGCCCCTCACCAGCATCAAGGAACCTGCCTTGAGATCTGCTCGCTTATGGAAATTTTGCTCGCGTATGGAAACAAAAAATCGACCCATCGATTGCTTGTATTTGGAAAAACTCACACGTGGATGTGCTCGCAAGTAGAGGTTCCACTGTATATGCTTTTAAACTGTTGTATCTGGGCACCACTGCAAAAACAGTGATTATGTATGAGTGAGGTGAAAGTGTTGAATGATGAAAGTATTTTCATTTTGGGGATTTTCTTTCTTTTGGGTCACCCTGCTTCGGTGGGAGACGGCTGACTTGTTGAAAAAAAAAAATCTATAAATTGTGTGTTAAGTACTGTAAACCCTTGATATAATGAACTTTTAAAATTATGAGTGAAATCTAGTGTAAATTGTATTTTTCACTTATTTATTTTCAATGTTTATTGTAGTTTATCCATAAATTGTGCATTAAGTACACTGTATTATGTATACAGTAAAGTACTTCACTGCATTTTTTTTGTTAATTTTTAATGTTATTCTGATATAATATATTCTGAGCACCTCTGTAATAACAGTGATTATGTGTGAGTGAGGTGAAAGTGTTGAATGATGATGAAAGTATTTTCTTTTTGGGGATTTTCTCTCTTTTTGGGTCACCCTGCCTTGGTGGGAGACAGCCGACTTGTTAAAAAAAAAAATCGAAGGTTAACTGTAATATTTTTATGTAAGTTTGTGTCTATGCATACCAGAACTGTAACTTCGAGGCAGCTGCTTCCCTAGAATATAGGAGCAAAAAGCCTAACACAGAATTTTTTTTTTTTAAATACCAGCTGCCCCACCGAGGCAGGGTGACCTGAAAAAGAAGAAAACTGAAAAATTTATCTTCTTTTTACATTTAGTAATACAGAATATATATACCATATACATTACCATTAATTTTTATGTTTACCTGCATTAATGGAAGTTAATCCACCCAAATACATCGAAAGTCTCTTTCCTCCTGCAGAATTGAGTATGGCTAACTGTAGCAAGGTAGACAATCTTGGCTTTGGAGAGCTGAAGAAGGCCTGGGCTCTTAGCAGGCTGGATCTTTCTCGTACACGCATTGATTTCCACACACTACAGCTTCTGTTGCAACATGCAGGCCAACTTCGTCACCTAAGTCTTAGTACGTGCCCATCAAGTAGTACTTATTTTGTGATGCATGTAGATAGTTGTGAAAATGTTAATGCAGTATATATTCGGTATATACTGCATATACAATCATTAATCTGTAGTGGGGGGAGTGATTGCCTTAGTGGGCATTCTAGGAAAGGATAGAGGGAGGGGGAGGAGGTTTTGTGTGCAAGGAGCTTGGACATACAGCAGGCATGTGTTGAGCATGTTAGATAGGAATGAGTGAAGACGAATGGTTTTTGAGACTTTATGAGCTGTTGGAGTGTTAACAGGGTAATATTTTATGAAAGGATTCAAGGAAACTGGTTAGCCGGACTTGAATCCTGGAGGTGGGAAGTACAATGCCTGCATGCTAAAGGAGGGATTTGAAATATTTGCTGTCTAGAGTGGACCTGGTCTTAGACCGGGCCACAGGGGCATTGACCCCAAAACCCTCTCCGGGTAAACATCTAAACTGACTCACGAAATCGTAATGACACGATTGCAAACAAACCATACCCGGCTAGGATAGAACCCGCGGTCATAGAGTCTCAAAACTCCAGCAGGTCTAGTGGCTAACGCGACGGGCTGGAGTTTTGAGACTCTATGACCGCGGGTTCAATCCTGGCCGGGGTATGTTTGTAAACATCTAAACTGTTGTATCTGTACACTTCTGGCAAGACAGTGATGGTGTGAATGATGGTGAAAGTATTTCTTTTTTGGGTCACCCTGGCTCAGTGAGAGATGGCCAGTGTGTTAAAAAAAATAATAATTTTTGTCTGATCGTAAGTATAGTGGAGCCTCGGTATACGACCTTAATTCATTCCAGAAGGCTGTTCGAGTGCTGCTCCATTTGAGTATCAAACAAGTTCTTCCCAACCAATTTTCTGTTTGGTTGGCTGCTATCACTAATCATCATAGGCCCCATGGTTACTTATTTATACAAATAATACAAAAAAAAAAAATGCGAAGAAACATGAAATAGTTTACAGCGAAGTTCTGGCAGGTCGTATTTGTTTGGTCGAGTGCTGAGCTTTGTTCAAGTAGGGAGCTGGTTGTATACCGTGGTTTCATTGTATTCACATTTAAATTCAGCTAAATTTAGAATCTAAATATTGTGCATTACACTATTTGAATTGGGAAGTACAGAGACTGCACTCTGAAGGAGTGATGGGAATGTTGCAATTTGGATGATCAGTTGAATTATGATTTCTTTGCACTATTAGCAAGACAGCTATTGAGTGAATGAATGATAGTGAATACATTTTCTCCTTTTCTTTTATAAGTCACCCTACTTTGGTGAGAGATGGCTGGCATGTTAATGAAATGGTCTCTGCTATTTTTTTTTTTTTTTTTAATAAAGTGAAGAATTCTGATTAAATTTTAAATGCATTTGCTAGTGAACCAGTTAAGATTATTCATCTATGAAGTAGCAAATGAAAGGAGTGAGAGGGCAAGATGAAGGGAGCATAGGTGGGTGAATGGATGAGGACATGTGTGAGTAGGTGGGTGGATGAGTGAGTGACAGGGTGAGTGAGCAAGTGGCAGGGCAGGTGAGTAGGCAAGACAGACAGGGTGAAAGAATAAAAGTAGGTGAAGTCCCTATACAGAATGAAGTCAAAAAATGTACTTAAATATGGAAAGGTCATGGAGATGAGTACAGACTGGTACCTCTTGCACAAGAGGTCCAGTAATTATCTTGTCACATATAAAGGGGCCATAAGATTTCCTCTGTAAGTCAGAGATTATGACACAGTGGAATCACCTTATGTCTCTTGCTCTTTGCCTGGTCTCTGGCTTTTATATACGAGTAAGAAAAAGAGAACAAGAGTGGAGGTAAATGGGTGATAAACAGACAGGCAAGCAAGAGAGTGAGCCAGTGGGCTCACTCTCTTGCTTGCTTGCAGAGGAGCAGTATTTTTTATATTGTGCACACTCACTGCAGAGACCCATTCTCTCATATCTGTACCAAAATTTACTGAACACGGCATAATTGAGGGCACTAAGGTTAAGTCATGATCTATGTAAAGGACACTGGTGGGAGACAGCAAAAGGGCTAAAGTGAACAATAACTGAAGGAAATTGCTTTATGGTGTATGAGTATAACATTTCTCAGTGGGGAAGTGGAACAGAATTCTTCCTTCATGAGCCATGCATGTTGTAAGAGGCAACTAAAATGCTGGGAGCAAGGGGCTAGTAACCCCTTCCCCTGTATATATTACTAAATTTGAAAAGAGAAACTTTTTTTTTTGGGGGGGGGGGCACTCTGCTTCAGTGGGATACAGCCAGTTTGTTGAAAGAAGAAGAGTATAACATTACATGTTAAATGTTTTGGTTCCATACCATTACTCTCATGAGAGAAGCAATTGGTAACCGATATTGTTCTTGTAGGTAACTGTACCCAACTGGACATGGATGAAGTGGCTCTGACACTTGCAACATTCAGTCGTGGTTTGATATCATTATCTGCATGGAAGACTCGTGGAATCACTACAAGGGGTCTTCGTGCTCTCGCCTGCATACCAACACTCCAAGATCTGGATCTTGGCTGGGCGTAAGTTCACATTTAGGGTACTGTTGATCACATTTTATAATAAAATTGTATTAAGAGTTTAATTTAATCCAGAATATTTCCGTGTAGGCAGTTAAAGTTAAAGCTAAATCAATGGTATGGAGTAATAATCTCAAGTTCACTTACAATGTCTATGGGTAAATTAGTCATTCCATAAGAATGTTCCTTTGCTGTACAAGTGAAGAAAATAAAAAGGAAATCATAAGTTAACACCTGGTCACAGACCCGACTGTGGAGGCTTTGATCCCAAAAACCTCTCCAGGTATTTTCTCATGGCTAGTTTTAGCTGTATACTTGGAAATGAGGAATATTGGAGGTAGTAGAAAAGTCTTGTCAGGGGTAAGTGTGGTGTGAATGTTATGCAAAAAATAAGGAATGAAAAAAATAAGTCTTCACAGCAGTTTAAAAGATATAAATGAGTGAAAGATTGGTTTTCTTAGATAGTACAGTCATGTAGAAATAATTTAACAAGGTAAGTCATTAAAGAGGGTGTATAAATCTAGGCTGAATTGGAAGTGTAGAGGGTATCTTGGAAAGAATTGGAAGAAGGGTGTGAAAGGATTGTTGAGGGGGTGAGACTTCAATATCCAGTTGGCTTATGTGTACATGTTACACTGGAGTGAAGGTAAATGTTCAGTAGGATTTAAAATACCATTATATTGTGAGAATGGTAATATAATGCCCATGAATGAGCACTAAGAAACCAGCTAATGAGATTTGTAGTTTAGAGGCTGGGAAGTGTAGTCAGTGCCTGTACTCTGAAAGTAAGAGTGACATCTAAGTGAGTACAAATAGGAAGCACGTCTGTCTCATGCTAGCAGACGGAGGATCAAGCCTCCCCCACATCTTGCACTGAATGACCCACATGCATTTAACTTTTTTTTTTTTTTTTCAACAAACTGGCCATATCCCACCAAGGCAGGGTGGCCCAAAAAAGAAAAACGAAAGTTTGTCTTTTTAAATTTAGTAATTTATACAAGAGAAGGGGTTACTAGCCCCTTGCCTCCGGCATTTTAGTCGCCTCTTACAACACGCATGGCTTATGGAGGAAGAATTCTGTTCCACTTCCCCATGGAGCATTTAACTCTTAATTATTATATTTATGTATCTGAAAGTAGGATGGGAAGGTTGCAGTTCTGTGGGTCAACATCAGATCTTTACATTTATTCTTCCCTGGAAAGGCAGCTAGAGAATACGTTGTAATTCATGTCTTTTTCTCTAGGTCATCCAGCCTTGGTGGAAAAGGGTCAGTGAGTAATACTATTTTATTTTGCTTTCAGGCTCTCGGGAGCAATAACAGAAGGATTAGGAGAGCTTGTAAGAGGATGTAAAGGCTTAAGAAGACTATATCTTACAGCCTTGAGAACATTAACTGATAATGATTTGCACCAGCTGACCACTCATGCAGGACAGTTAACTTGGTTAGACATAATGGGGACAAGAAATGTAACTCCAGAAGCTGTTCACAGGTAAGCTTTCAGTGTATGAAAGCATTTTTTTATGGTTTGCTATTTAAACTTTTCAACTGTCATAATCTTTCATAGTACAGTGGAACCTTGGCTTACAAGTGTCCCAGTGTATGAGGTTTTTGAGATACGAGCTGTCACTCAGTCAGTTTTTTGCTCTAAGTTATGAGCCAACATCCAAGTTATGAGCCAGCTCCCCCTGCTTCCCCCTCAACCCAAAACCTGCACACCTCACTTGTTTATCTATGATTTCATGCTTTAATTTCATGGAAATCAACCTCTTTTTCTTTTCAGCACTGTCCTTTGCACTTTCATAGGACCCATGCTTAGAAAAACGAAATTAGGCCAAATGACTGTAAAAAATGTAAGTAAAGCATGAGAGAAATACTCCCACACCAAGGTAAACAGTGCACTGAGTTGGTGGCATTCTGAAGCTCTCATTATTATTATTATTATTGTTATTATTATTACCCAATACATATGTTATAACATATGTATTGGGTAGATGGAGGGAACATTTTGAGGAACTTTTAAAGGTCGATGAAGTAAGGGAGGCTGTAATTTCATGCATTGGCCAGGGAGGTATACCATCTTTTAAGAGTGAAGAAGAGCAGCATGTGAGTGTGGGGAAGGTGCATGAGGCATTACTTAGAAAGAAAGTGGGTAAAGTAGCTGGAACTGATGGGATCATGACAGAAATGTTAAAAGCAGGGGTGGATATAGTGTTAGAGTGGTTGGTATTTTTGTTTAATAAATGTATGAAAGAGGGGAAGGTACCTAGGAATTGGCAGAGAGCATGTATAGTTCCTTTATATAAAGGGAAGGGGGACAAAAGAGATTGTAAAAATTATAGAGGAATTAGTTTACTGAGTATACCAGGAAAAGTGTACGATAGGGTTATTATTGAAAGAATTAGAGGTAAGACAGAAAGTAGGATTGTGGATGGGCAAGGAGGTTTTAGAGTGGGTAGGGGATGTGTAGATCAAGTGTTTACATTGAAGCATGTATGTGAACAGTATTTAGATAAGGGTAGGGAAGTTTTCATTGCATTTATGGATTTAGAAAAGGCATATGATAGAATGGATAGGGGAGCAATGTGGCAGATGTTGCAAGTATATGGAATAGGTGGTAAGTTACTAAATGCTGTAAAGAGTTTTTATGAGGATAGTGAGGCTCAGGTTAGGGTGTGTAGAAGAGAGGGAGACTACTTCCCGGTAAAAGTAGGTCTTAGACAAGGATGTGTAATATCACCATGGTTGTTTAATATGTATTTATAGATGAAGTTGTAAAAGAAGTAAATGCTAGGGTGTTCAGGAGAGGGGTGGGATTAAATTATGGGGAATCAAATACAAAATAGGAATTGACACAGTTACTTTTTGCTTATGATACTGTGCTAATGGGAGATTCTAAAGAAAAATTGCGAAGGTTAGTGGATGAGTTTGGGAGTGTGTGTAAAGGTAGAAAGTTGAAAGTGAACATAGAAAAGAGTAAGATAATGAGGGTATCAAATGATTTAGATAAAGAAAAATTGGATATCAGATTGGAGAGAAGGAGTATGGAAGAAGTAAATGTTTTCAGATATTTGGGATTTGACGTGTCAGCGGATGGATTTTTGAAGTAGGAGGTTAATTATAGAATTGATGAAGGAAAAAACATGAGTGGTGCATTGAGGTATATGTGACACAAAAAATCGTTATCTATGGAGGCGAAGAAGGAAATGTATGAAAGTATAGTGGCACCAACACTTATATGGGTGTGAAGCTTGGGTTGTAAATGCTGCAGCGAGGAGATGTTTGGAGGCAGTGGAGATGTCATGTCTAAGGGCAATGTGTGGTGTAAATATTATGCAGAAAATTCAGAGTGTGGAAATTAGGAGAAGGTATGGAGTTAGTAACAGTATTACTCAGAGGGCTGAAGATGGGTTGTTGAGGTGGTTTGGTCATTTAGAGAGATTGGATCAAAGTAGAATGACATGGAGAGCATATATATCTGTAGGGAAAGGAAGGCAGGGTAGGGGTTGTCCTCAAAAAGGTTGGAGGTAGGGGGTAAAGGAGGTTTTATGGGCGAGGCGCTTGGACTTCCAGCAAACGTGCATGAGCGTATTAGATAGGAGTGAATGGAGACGAATGGTATTTGGGACCTGACGATCTGTTGGAGTGTGAGCAGGGTAATATTTAGTGAAGGGATTCAGGGAAACCGGTTATTTTTTTATAGCCAGACTTCATTCCTGGAAATGGGAAGTACAATGCCTGCACTTTAAAGGAGTGGTTTGGGATATATATATATATATTTATAGATGGGGTTGTAAAGGAAGTAAATGCTAGGGTGTTCGTGAGAGGGGTGGGATTAAATTTTGGGGAATCAAATTCAAAATGGGAATTGACAGTTACTTTTTGCTGATGATACTGTGCTTATGGGAGATTCTAAAGAAAAATTGCAAAGGTTAGTGGATGAGTTTGGGAATGTGTGTAAAGGTAGAAAGTTGAAAGTGAACATAGAAAAGAGTAAGGTGATGAGGGTATCAAATGATTTAGATAAAGAAAAATTGGATATCAAATTGGGGAGGAGGAGTATGGAAGAAGTGAATGTTTTCAGATACTTGGGAGTTGACGTGTCGGTGGATGGATTTATGAAGGATGAGGTTAATCATAGAATTGATGAGGGAAAAAAGTGAGTGGTGCGTTGAGGTATATGTGGAGTCAAAAAACGCTATCTATGGAGGCAAAGAATGGAATGTATGAAAGTATAGTAGTACCAACACTCTTATATGGGTGTAAAGCTTGGGTGGTAAATGCAGCAGCGAGGAGACGGTTGGAGGCAGTGGAGATGTCCTGTTTAAGAGCAATGTGTGGTGTAAATATTATGCAGAAAATTCGGAGTGTGGAAATTAGGAAAAGGTGTGGAGTTAATAAAAGTATTAGAGGGCAGAAGAGGGGTTGTTGAGGTGGTTTGGTCATTTAGAGAGAATGGATCAAAGTAGAATGACATGGAAAGCATATACAGTGGTCCCTCGTTTTTCGTAATTAATACGTTCCTGGAGGAGCTACTATAAACGAAATTTACGATTTGCGAATCAATTTTCCCCATAAGAAATAATGTAAATACAATTAATCCGTTCCTGACACTGTTACAAAAAACGCGATTCTAAAAGCTTAGAGATCTCCAGTGAATACTAGAAAGGACTGCCCTTCTAGCATCCAGCCTGTTACTGGGTTTTCGTAACAATTAGTCAGTATCCTTGTCCAGTTATCCATTAGAATTCAGTATGATTCAATAGTGCTTCAGGATTACAACTGGTAGGCTACTAACTAGAGAAATTAAAATTTAATAAATTTATTAAGTATAGTCTAGAGGTATATTATCAAATTAAATTAATCAATTCAAACAAATTAATAATAATAATAATCACTTCTCTCGGGTACAATATTATTGTGCTGAAAGCACATATCACATTTATAATTCTTAGTACCGTCTGGTACTTTAACATTTAATAAGATATTATAAATATGTACAAGTAAGTTTGTGTAGGTCTGTAAGTGCTCTAAGTAGTTCGCTGTGTCTCAAGACTCGACTAGACTTAAACAAGTGACTGACAAAGTCCTCAAATAAACTAACTTCTTGACCAACTGGCAATCAGAACAGCCTGCTTGAACAACAAAAAGAATGCTAAGCCCAATAGCAATATAACAAGCAACTGCAACACAGAATCAGGAACAAGGAGATAATATAACGACACTAAGTAGGGACATCAGCAGATCCTCCACAAAGTCACAAAACTCCCATACTACTGAATCTAAGTTCAGCATAAGAAAATCCCCGACTGTGATAATACACAGATACCAGTACAAGTTAGGTCAGAAGCTACAGCTCAGGACCTGAGTTACTCAGAGTGTCTATGAGACACACAACCTCAGTACAACGTCGAAAATCACTAAGTCTATACAATGTTCTGTGAACAGAGTTCTACAGAACTACCAAGAATAATGAGACAGACAATCTGTCCAACCACCAAGAGAGTCTAGACCAGACTGAATACTTCAGGCGAGGTGAGGACACCCCCCCTTCGATCACGTGATAGCTCCGTGGACAGTACTGCCCAGCAACAGAAGCCGGCAGAATAACGAGCAAAGAGCGATAATTACAGTAGTTAGACAATCAAGACTTGAACTGAGCACATATGTTACATCCTACCTCACAAAATTTAGCTAAGTCAAATAATAATAATATAAAGCAATATATTTACGATTTAGCTATTATCGCAAATTCAAGCAATATAAAATTATATGAAAAAGTGATAATTATATATATACATTGTATTCATAATCATAATATACATTGTAACCCATTCAGGGGTTGCAACAGACACCAAGAAGTATTAAACAAAAAAAAAAATTTCATGAAATTATACATATAGTACATAAACAATACAATGGGAAATGATGAATGAAACATTAACAGCATAACACTTACCTTTATTAGAGATTCTTCTTAGTGTATGGGAGACTGGAGGAGGAGAGAGATGGGATTGTTTACAGTTTGGAAGGGGAATCCCCTTCCAGCAATACCTCAGGTACCAATTGCTTCTCTGGGGTTGCTTCTCTTCTCTGTTTCTTAATGCCACTAGGACCACCTTGAGAGTCACTCTAGTCCTGTCTCGCAAAGTAACTTTGTCACTGTACATATTTCTCACCTTCTTTACCACAGGCTTGGCACTAGGAGCTTTCTTTGGAGCCATGGTAGCTTATTTAGTAATTGCAAGCACTAAAATGAGTGGAATATTATGAAATATTTCGTAGGAGCACTTGAGGGGACCTTCACTCACTGGTAAACAATGCCAGACTGGCTGGGTAGGGAGGCCGCCCCGGCTCCCACCGTGCGTACGCGTCCCAGACGAACTACTATTCGCGAGTCAACCTATGAAAAGCGAGTCCATGTTTATACAAAAATACCCCTATGATTGGCAAAATTTACGATTGCCGAGAACTACGAAAAGCGAGGGACCACTGTAAATCTATAGGGGAAGGAAGGCAGGGTAGGGGTCGTCCTCGAAAGGGTTGGAGAGAGGGGGTAAAGGAGGTTTTGTGGGCGAGAGGCTTGGACTTCCAGCAAGCGTGCGTGAGCGTGTTAGATAGGAGTGAATGGAGACGAATGGTACTTGGGACCTGACGATCTGTTGGAGTGTGAGCAGGGTAATATTTAGTGAAGGGATTCAGGGAAACCGGTTATTTTCATATAGTCGGACTTGAGTCCTGGAAATGGGAAATACAATGCCTGCACTTTAAAGGAGTGGTTTGGGATATTGGCAGTTTGGAGGGATATGTTGTGTATCTTTATATGTATATGCTTCTAAACTGTTGTATTCTGAGCACCTCTGCAAAAACAGTGATAATGTGTGAAAGTGTTGAATGATGATGAAAGTATTTTCTTTTTGGGGATTTTCTTTCTTTTTTGGGTCACCCTGCCTCGGTGGGAGACGGCCGACTTGTTGGAAAAAAAAAAAATTGTCCTGCCGCTGGGACGGATTAATGGCATTTCAATTAATTTAAATGAGGAAAATTGATTTGATATATGTACGAGCAAATTGAGTTACGAGCTAGGTCACGGAATGGATTAAACTTGTAAGTCAAGGTTTCACTGTATGTGTAAAATAAGATTTGACTTGTTATGGTGCTTGCATCAGGATGCTCATTGTTCTTTCCACATCAAAATCAGCAACTAATGCAAAACAGCACACCTGACTTTCATTGATTTCATCTGGATGCTGTTTGCTCCTTCCATAACAAAGCCAAAAACAGATTATTTACAATGTATCAGCCTGATGATGCAGAATTGTTTACAATATATCAGCTTGATAATGCAGGCTTGTTTACAGTATATCAGCCTGATGATGCAGGCTTGTTTACAATATATCAGCCTGATGATACAGACTACAGTGGATTTAAACTAAGGAATGCTACAAATTATCACCAACATTTTTATTTATTCTAGAAAAGCACATTCAGAGAAGGGTAGTCTTACTTCAGTATCTCTATTGTAAAAGTTTGATATTACTGTAGTTACATACTGTATATAGACCCCTAAGCATTTTTGGTAATGCTCTTAAAAGTTTACCTTGAACAAGCTAAAGTGAATACCTAACAGTAGTAAGTGCACGCATAAACGTTATACTTGTAGCTAACTATTATGAAAAAGTGATGGATTTCTTAAAAATAATTCCTATACCAGGCCTCGTACATGTTTATTTGTGCTCAGAAAACATCCAAAGAAGGGTCTGCTTTCCATACAAAATAACAGAAATAAAATCCTTTTCAAAAAATCTCCCATAAAGTTTCTGGGATCAAATGTTCTTTCTGCAGGTTTTAACTGTTAGAAATGCATGTGCATTTTTCATTGTTTTATTCTAGCCTTTTTTTTATAGAATTATTGTGAAAAGCTATAACTAATAGAAAATGCTAGGAGCTATTTTTAGTTTTGTGTAAAAAGCTAATTCTCTTATCATTTAGTGTCCTTTCATGAAACTTGTACATTTTAACTGGTGTTTTGTAATAGGAAAAGTAAACAATGTTTGAAGATACTATAAATCAGTTAGCTTAATCATCAGTGAAATAATTTGCACGGTAAGTAAAGATCTCCAAACTTTGGATCATCCTCTTGTATGTTATTTACAGATTGCTTCAAAGCTGTCAAAATCTTGAGCTGTTGGATGTGGGTTTTTGTGAGCAGATCCATTCCACTTTTGTACATGAGTGGGCACTTCAGTTTCCCAAAGTTTCCATCAAGGGAGGACTTCGGCATCAAGTTCGCATTGTCTAGTGTCTTATATGGCAGCTTGGTGTATACAGTATTTATTTTTCTTGGACACCTAATAAACAAAAGATAAGAAGACTGTAGTTCCTGTAAACACAAGCATGGCAGCATCTGTGGTTAACATTTTCTTTGCTATAGTTACTTTTCTCCAGTAACTTAGTTAATAATGTAAAGCAGCACTTATATTTTAAATATGTTTTGGTTCTGCATGAAAACATTTAGGAATTTGAAGATTATGCATTCACAGGCAGTAAATGTATTATAAGAGTAAGCATAGTGCAGAAAGAATTAACAAAGGTCATTCTTTCCAGGGATTTCTTTGAAAAGAGTTTCTCCTTTAACTAGGAAGGGCAATACATGTATTGTTTTTACAGGATCTTCCATAGATAATAAGATGTTCAAACTATACATTATATTTCTTGAGTATTGGAAGTCCTTGGCAATTTTTCTCATGCATTGTCCAAAACCATTCTGGACTTTTATTTATAAATATGCAGGGATGTTTTGCTTCTTTATAGTGTTTTCATTGTAGCATTGTAGCTGAGGAAATACTGTATTTTTTCATTATTCCTACTGGAACCTCTGCCCTTCCTGAGGGCAGCCTTGTCTTATATCCTCCTCAGACTTTTTTTTTTTTTTTTTTTTTTTTTCAACAAGTCGGCCGTCTCCCACCAAGGCAGGGTGACCCAAAAAAGAAAGAAAATCCCCAAAAAGAAAATACTTTCATCATCATTCAACACTTTCACCACACTCGCACATTATCACTGTTTTTGCAGAGGTGCTCAGAATACAACAGTCTAGAAGCATACACATATAAAGATACACAACATATCCCTCCAAACTGCCAATATCCCAAACCCCTCCTTTAAAGTGCAGGCATTGTACTTCCCATTTCCAGGACTCAAGTCCGACTATATGAAAATGCACACTGGTGGAAAAGTAGAAGGAATAAACTGGAGGTTGGCACAAACTAGAAAAAAACAGGATTAGTACATTAATGGTTACTGAATAGATAAAATTAGGATTGACATTCCAAAACTTTTGATTCTGGATATTTCACTCAAGACACTGTTGATCAAGTCAAAAGATTTTATATGAAGATAAAGTATTACCCAAACAATCCCACTTAACATTATTTTGTTAATGATTCATTAATCCTTAAAAATATGAATATAAATAACTTAGCATACACAGACCTATAAAAAAATTCTCATGAAACAAGCAACAAACCAATTAGTAATCATAAAGTTACTTAATGCAGAGAATGCCTTAATTTCAGTTGATATTGTGCTTAGAACTGACTGAGGTTTATCAAGTCTTCAGAAAACCCCCAGAAAACTTAAAAATACCTGTACTTAAATATACCATCTGGAGAGGGGAGGAGAGGTCATATTATATGCAGCAAAGATAGGAAAATGGGAAGTCAGGTCACAGGGAGTGTTGTGCAGGGAGGGTTTTGTGTGGGAAGGTTACTTAGCAGTAAGCGTGCAAGAGCCTTTCATTTCAGAAAGGCTTGTTTGGATAGGACTGAGTACATTTTAATCCTTTCAGGGTCCAGAGGCCAAATTTCAAAGTGTGCACCAGTGTCCAAGAATTTTCAAAAAATAATTTGTTATTTTTTCTTATGAAATGGTAGAGAATCTTTTTCTGAAGGTAATAAAACAAAAAGTACCAAATTTCGTGGAAAACTGACGAAATTATGCTCTCGCGAATTTTGATGTGTCAGCGATATTTACGCATCAGCGATTTTGCTGACTTTGACTCCCATTTTAGGCCAATTACATTATTCCACTCGACCAAATTCTTGGTTATTTCAGTAGTATTACTTCTATACTATCGACTGAGCTCAAGAAATCGCCAAATCAACTGTTTCAACTACAAAATAATGTGATTGGAAATTGATAATTTGGCCAATTTAGTGCAAAGTTCAAAATACATATTCCAATTTCAAAATAGGGTCCAGAATAAACAATGCAATCATTCTTGGCACTAAACTAACATTTCCTCTATTCATTAGTTATGTTTTCAGGCATTACAAATTAATTCCATTTTGATTTTTTATTCACATAATGAATTTTTATTCAAACCAAAAAATAAAAGATTTACTGTTATGCAATATTTTAATAATTGTATAAATAATATCACCACATTTGTGAATGTATATTAGATTCACCAGCTGGCGTGTATTAGACGTGTGAGGTCATTTGTTTACTCTTGAACAGTTTTTTTAGTTTAATATGTTTATTATGCACCCCATACCCATCCTGTGGGCGGTAGTCAAAAGATTACAGAGGTACATAATGGGTCCAGGGACTGGGCCTCAAAGTTTTGATAGCTGAGCAAGTTACAGAGGTAATGAATTCACAATTTACAAAGGTAATGAACTCACAATTTACAAAGGTAATGAACTCCAGGTAGGTCTAGTCACAATCATGACAAGTTACAAAGGTATTTACAGATTACAGAGGTACACAATGGGTCCAGGGACCGGGCCCCAAAGTTTTGATGGCTGAACTAGGTACAAGGTAATGAACTCACAAGTTACAAAGGTAATGAATACTGTAAGAATGGTTACTTACGTTTATACATTTGGGTACAATCATTAACAAATTTTAGAGTAATGAGCAATTCACACTTCCACACCTGGTCACAACTGTAGTGAGTTATTGGTGCAAATATTGATTGTTGAGTCACACACACACACATATACAAATTCAACACACACACACACACACCCCACACACACACACACACACACACACACACACACACAACACACACACACACACACCCCACACACACACACACACACACACACACACACACACACACACACACACACACACACACACAGTCAGGCGCAGACAAGGGGACGGTAAGCAACAACGGAGACATGCCGTACACGAAGGCCCTATCAGACCCACATGGGGCCAGGGAAAAGATGACGAGCACACTAAGATCAAACGACAGGTCCGAAGACAATGAAGGTATGCTATATGCAGAGATTCTAACAGCCAACTGCAGTAGCAAGGGACAGCTGGTCAGGAAAGACAGTTCACTGAGAATAGAAGTTTCAGATATGACAGGGACTGAAGGCAAGAACATGTCAATGGAAGGAAATAAAATGCCTCAGAGGAAGCAGATGGGGGACTCAGTGGGAGGAGGAAAGGGCGAGGTTCGTTTTTTGTGTACGGGCTCCAAGAAGCCAGGGGGACAACTTTGAAGAAATAAAACAGGAGGAGAAAAAAATGATTGAAGGCATCATGAAAACAATAGGGAGGGCGATATGACCCAGGTGACAAATTTTCAGAGAATTGGGTGGTTTGCGAGTGGAAGGATACGGCCTGTCAGAGTAACTTTCAAGGAAGAATCAGTTCGAACCAGGATTCTGCAAGAGAAAGCAAGACTGAGGGACAAAGAGGGGTACCAGAGAGTATACCTCGACCGCGACAGAACACAAGAAGAAAGGACTACACTGAAAGAGAGGGTACAGAGACGCAAGGAGGAACGAGAAGCAATGACGAAAATGAGCAGGACCCAGACACAGGAGGAAGGGCAAACACACCCCACAGAATCTCCCACCAAAAGACTCCAACCGCGACATTCCCAACGCAACTGAGCAACCTTACTACAACCCACTCACTGTTCCCTCTGCCACCAACCCCCATATCACAAACCTCACCCAACAGCTGTCCCTTATGGGCATTCTGACCCCACCCCCATCAACACAAACCCCACCTACACCACAGCCCCATATAGGCCCCCACCAAGGCTCTCGCTCCCCCAACCCCAATATTCTTGCATGACCACAATGATAGAAAAGAAACTGAAGGTTTGGTACACAAACGCGGATGGAATAATGAATAAATATGAGGAGTGGAACGAAAGAATCAGTGAAAAATCCCCAGACATCATAGCAGTCACAGAAACAAAACTCACTGAGACAATAACAGACACAATCTTCCCAACAGGATATCAGATCCTGAGGAAAGATAGAAGGAGTAGAGGGGGAGGGGGGGTTGCACTGCTCATAAAACACCGATGGGGATTTGAGGAAATGGAAGGCATGGACATGATTGGAGAAAGAGACTACATTGTAGGTACAATTCAGTCCAGAGAACATAAAGTAGTCATTGGAGTGATGTATAACCCACCACAGAACTGCAGGAGGCCAAGAGAGGAGTACGAAGAAAACAACAGGGTGATGGTGGACACACTGGCTGAGGTGGCAAGAAGAGCTCACTCGAACAGAGCAAAGTTACTGGTAATGGCGATTTCAACCACAGGGAGATCGACTGGGAAAACCTGGAGCCACATGGGGGTCCCAAAACATGGAGAGCCAAGATGATGGATGTGGTACTTGAAAACCTCATGCATCAACATGTCAGGGACACAACCAGAGAGAGAGGGGATGAACCAGCAAGACTGGATCTTGTGTTCACCCTGAGCAGTTCAGACATTGAGGACATCACTTACGAGAGGCCCTTGGAGCTAGCGATCACGTGGTTCTGAGTTTTGACTATATAGTAGAGTTACAAGTGGAGAAGGTAACAGGAACTGAAGGGGACAGGCCAAACTATAAAAGGGGGACTACACAGTATGAGAAACTTCCTGCAGGAGGTTCAGTGGGACAGAGAAATGGTAGGAAAATCAGTAAACGAGATGATGGAATATGTGGCAACAAAGTGCAAGGAGGCAGAGGAAAGTTTTGTTCCCAGGGAAACAGAAATAATAGGAAGACCAAAACGAGTCCTTGGTTTACCCGAAGGTGTAGGGAGGCAAAAACTAAGTGCAACAGAGAATGGAAAAGGTACAGGAGGCATAGGACCCAGGAAAACAAGGAGATTAGTAGAAGAGCCAGAAACGAGTATGCACAGATAAGGAGGGAGGCCCAGCGACAGTATGAAAATGACATAGCATCGAAAGTCAAATCTGACCCGAAACTGCTGTATAGCCACATTAGGAGGAAGACAACAGTCAAGGACCAGGTGATAAGGCTGAGGAAAGAAGGTGGAGAACTCACAAGAAACGATCAAGAGGTATGTGAAGAGCTCAACACAAGATTTAACCCTTTGAGGGTCGACAGGCCCTCTCCGAAACTCGTTCTCAGGGTCGGCCAAATTAAAAAAAAAAAATTATTTTCTCTTATGAAAAGATAGAGAATCTTTTCCCGATCATAAAGACACCAAAAGTTTGAAATTTGATAGAAAACTTACGGAATTATGCTCTCGCAAAGTTAGCGGTCTCGGCGATGTTTACGCATCGGCGATTTTGCCCACTTTGAGCCCCATTTTCGGCCAATTTCGCTGTACTAGTCGACAAAAAACATGAATATTTCGCTAGAACTCCATTTTTTCTATCGAATGGGTGCAAGAAACCACCCATTTACGAATTCAACTATCCAGTACAGTGGTCAGAATTTAGCAATTTTGCCAATTTCACACAAATTTCAAAAGATGCCAATTTCCGAATAGGGGCCAGAATAAACAAAAATACATTCCTGGCACTAAAATGACATTTCCTCTAGTCATTAGTCACGTCTCAATGCCCCTCTTATATTCTTTTGCTTTCCACTTTGAATTTTTATTCTCACAAAAAATATAAGATTTACTGTTATGCAGACTACTGCATTAGTGTAAAAAAAGGTATAAATATTATTGGTGCACTTGTGAAAGAATATTAGACTCACCAGTTGACGTGTATTGCACGCTTGGCACGATTTGTTTACTTTTGAAGTTTGGTAAAAATCGAACATTTTCTGCTACTTTGAGCTCAATTTCAAGGCACCTTTCATTGTAAAACCAGCCAAAATCATCTCAATTTCTGTAATATGTCTTCCATTCTATAAAATGAGACCAAGAAAACTAGAATACAACAATAAATACCATACGAAAATACACTGCAAAGTCGCTGATTTATTCCAAAAAAATGGTCAAAGTTTTTTTTTTCTCATTATGCACTGTGTGCTGCAGGATTTTTTTTAGACTGTGCACACTGACCACATAGACCCATTCTTTCATATGAAGGCCTACCAGCTTTCTCCCACTAGATTTGAGGCCGCTAGAATTTATGCGTACTAGTACGTCAAAAACCCCTACGCGTAAGACGTACTAGTACGACGAAAACCCTCAAAGGGTTAAGGAAGTATTTACATTAGAGACAGGAAGGACTCTGGGGGGACAGACCAGATGGGGACACCAGCAAGGAATACACCAACAAGTGTTGGATGACATACATACAGATGAGGAGGAGGTGAAGAAACTGCTAAGGGACATTGATACCTCAAAGGCAATGGGACCGGACAACATCTCCCCATGGGTCCTTAGAGAGGGAGCAGATATGTTGTGCGTGCCACTTACCACAATCTTCAACACGTCCCTGGAAACTGGGCAACTACCTGAGGTATGGAAGACGGCAAATGTAGTTCCCATTTTTAAAAAAGGAAACAGAAAAGAGGCACTAAACTATAGACCTGTGTCATTGACGTGTATAGTATGCAAAATTATGGAGAAGATTATCAGGAGGAGAGTGGTGGAGCACCTGGAACAGAACAAGAGTATAAATGCCAACCAGCACGGATTCACGGAAGGCAAATCTTGTGTCACAAACCTTCTGGAGTTTTATGATAAAATAACAGAAGTAAGACACGAGAGAGAGGGTGGGTTTGATTGCATCTTCTTGGACTGCAAGAAGGCCTTTGACACAGTTCCTCACAAGAGATTAGTGCAGAAGCTAGAGGATCAGGCGCATATAACAGGAAGGGCACTGCAATGGATCAGAGAATACCTGACAGGGAGGCAACAACGAGTCATGGTACGTAATGATGCATCACAGTGGGCACCTGTGACGAGCGGGGTCCCACAGGGGTCGGTCCTAGGACCAGTGCTATTTTTGGTATATGTGAACGACATGATGGAAGGGTTAGACTCAAAAGTGTCCCTTTTTTGCAGATGATGTGAATTAATGAGGAGAATTACATCTGATGAGGACCAGGCGGGACTTCAAAGAGACCTGGACAGACTGGACCCCTGGTCCAGCAAATGGCCTT